TTTTTGTTAATTTGTTATTTAAAAGTTGATCTGACAGGATGCAATATGTCAGGTTGGGCTGTATTACCAGTATTTAAGAACCAGTTTTGAAAGTAAACAAACTTTTGGATATTTTAGTTTTCATCTATCCATCCATCCTTCAGTAATGTAACGTTTGATTAGTTAGGGTCCGTCCAAGTATACGATTTTTGGTTAGGTTAAGACAATTTCTGGGCCGAGCGTTGCAGCTAGGACAGGCTAGGGGGCCGAGTGCCGCGGTTAGGACAGGCTAGGGGGCCGGGCGCTGCGGCTACATGATCAATTATATCTATGCACAAAATTGATAGGAGGGGGGAGGGGGAGGAGGGGGTTCAAAAATCGTTCTATAGGAAATTACCGATAGTTAATACAGAGAGCGTCATCAACAATGAGTGAATAGAAAATATCATCGTGAAACTTTTACAAAAATGATTATGCAATGTTGTAAGCATGAACATTTTGTAATTCAATTCATGAGGCGCATGAAGGATGGAGGGGCAGAAAGCCGTCCCCACTTGGAAATTGTGAAGACGGAAATATGACTACGAAGCACAGAAAATGACTTGATTTTTCTCGACATTGTGAAATTTTAGAAAAAGGAAAGCTTTACACATTTTTCTACAATTAGGTCAAATTAACAGCCGACACTTGACACTTTTTTAGTGTCAAACTGTCAAGGATCGTCGGCCTTAAAGAACATACAAAAAATAGGTTGATTAAGAAGTTTTTAATGAAACTTTTGTTTTAAACGCACTTGTTAAACTATTGTAACAATAAGGAACTACTGAATACTTGTCTCAAACTCTAATTGTATGATCCTTAAACATATCTTTGTAGCCTGATGTCGTAAACTTTGAATTCCTCAAGATAATATAAATAGTTTGAAACATAAAATATTACATCATCCGATTTCAAAGATATTGGGATTTAAAATTTTGAGTTTGAGGTATTCCAGTTGTTATATCCAATAACAGATCAATGATTAAACTAATTTCAGAAAAAAATGACTTATTACTTGGAGAAAGAATAAAAACCCGAAGAAATAAACAAAATCACAGCATGGAGTTTGGTAAGCTGTCAAACAAATTTATCATAAATAAAATAAATTTATCATAAATAAAATAAATTTATCATAAATAAAATAAATTTATCATAAATAAAATAAATTATAAGGAAATGCTACGAAAAGTAGGCTTGCAGGGGCCGGGTGGGTTAAACCAACTTTATTCTCTATGAAACACTAGGGAAGGAAAATAACGTCGCTTTTCTAGCTTTTATTTGGATAATTTTACATTGTTTTAAAAGCAAACAATGCTCAAGTCACTTTTGTCGAGAAACCATAAATCAGATCTCAAGATAGATAATTCATTCTTGATCAGACTTCAGGCTTCTAAGGGTACCTTTGAGAATCAGACATACTACTTTATGAAATCACATTAACAGTCCCATATATAAAAATGGATATATAATAATGGATATATAATAATGGATATAAATAATGGATATATGGATATATGATAATGAATATATGGATATATAATAATGGATATATAATAATGAATATATCATAATGGATATATAATAATGGATATATAATAATGTATATATTATAATGGATATATAATAATGGATATATAATAATGGATATATGATAATGGATATATAATGATGGATTCTCTTAACAAAAATAAGCGGATTTACGCACACAAAGCAAATGAAATTAACAGAATTTTGTATCCTTTTGAAATAAACAACTACGTTAACTTTTCCTTTTGAAATAAACAACTACGTTAACTTTCTCACCATTATTCCGAAGAAACAGTGCTGGGTACAGTGCTGGATCATGTTACGCCTGTATATTGAAATTACGGCTACAATCCCTTTAAATACAGTGCTGGGTACCGTAGTTATACTATACGCCTGTTTAATGAGTCTCTTGAAATTACGGCTACAATCCTTTTGAAATGAATCCACATTACTGGGCGTAAAGGAAAGGATTCCACGGATAAACATTGATAGATACAAATTTATGGGGCTTCAGAGAGATGCGTCATCTTTCTTCATATCTTCCTATTGCTCCACGTTGTACGATATTGCGTCAATCCTGCTCTTTTTGGAATATATACAACTTAAACCTGGTTAGTATCAATATCTTCAGCGTAAATGTTTCAGAGAAAGCCGTCCCCACTTGGAAATTGTGAAGACGGAAATGTGACTACACAGCACAGCCATAAACAAAGAAAATGACTTGATTTTTCTCGACATTGTGAAATTTTACAAAAAGGAAAGCTTTACACATTTTTCAACAATTAGGTCAAATTAACAGCTGACACTTGACACTTTTTTAGTGTCAAACTGTCAATGATCGTCGGCCTTAAAGAACATACAAAAAATAGGTTGATTAAGAAGTTTTATCACAAAACGGTTCCTCACAAAACGGTTCCTCACAAAACGGTTCCTCACAAAACGGTTCCTTACAAAACGGTTCCTTACACAAAACGTTCCTCATAAAATGGTTCCTTACATAACGGAACACTTTGTGACCCCCCCTCCCCCCATCCCAACGGAAAATCGGGTGCGTAATAATGTTTATTCTGTTTATAATAGAATTACAATTAAAAATATAATATATTTTCTTTTGATAAATATTGTTCGGTTTAATAATTTAATCATAAGTATCATTATATTATTATATAGTGCTATATAATCTAGTCTTTTTAATATAATGTAAAGAGAATAGATAGATTAAAATATAGATAAAAAGATGATAGATAGAACAATAGATAAAAAGAAAGATAGAAAGAAAGATAGAAAGAAAGATAGAAAGATAGATAGAAAGATAAAAGAAAGATAGAAATAAAGATAGAAATAAAGATAGAAAGATGATAGAAAGAAAGATAGATAGAAATATAGATATAAAGGTAGATAGAAAAATAGATAGAAAGATAGATAGAAAGATAGATAGAGAGCTAGATAGATATGGAAAGATAAATAGATGGAAAAGGATGGAAAGATAAATAGATGGAAAGATAAATAGATGGAAAGATAGATATAAAGATAGATATAAAGATAGATATAAAGATAAATAGAAAGATAGATATAAAGAGATATATAAATGTGAGAATGATATAAAGAGAGAGAGTTGGATAGAAAGATAGAAAAAAGATAGAGAGAGAGAGTGACATGAGAAATAGAAAGGGAGATAGAAATTATTAGTAAGGGAGATAAAAAAGATATAAAGAGAAGCAGATAGAGAGAAAGATAGAGAGAAGAGATTAGAAAAAAGAGATTTGAAAAAGTTAAACGAAAAAGAGAGATAGATATGTAATAAATATTGGGTTACAGGATATTCTGTAAACCTGAACTACATTGTACATTATTAACTATCTATGTTTGTAAACTTTTAGGTAAAACCGTTATCAATTTGAACTGCACTTCAAATAAATAGGTGGCAGGATTAGCTTAATCACGTGATATAGATAACTATGTAGGAATTGTATTAACTTTAACTTGTAACGGGACCTCTTTTTCAGATTCCTTTTCTAATAGTTCTAAACATATAAACCCCAAGTACACTAGTTGATATAGAGACTCCATACTGTTTACTGCGTGAGAGGAATCATTCCCTGTTTTGATAAACAGGTTATGGATTATGCCCATTGGTTTGGCATTGATAGATTAAGAGCTTGTGTCCCTGTTGACATTGATAGCTGTTCCTTGTTGAAACATACGAGTTGAGGATCGTGCCTATTGGTTTGGCGTTGATCGATTTACTGCTTTTGTCCATGTAGATGTAGACATTGATAGCTGATAGCGCCCATTGGAAAGCGTTGATCGATTTAGTGATTTTGTCCGTGTAGACATTGATAACTGATCATGCCCACTGATTTGGCGTTGATCAATTTAGTGCTTCTGTCTGTGTAGACATTGATAACTGATCGGGGCTATTGATTTGGCGTTGGTTGACTACGAGCTGGTGTCCTGGTTGACATTGATAGCTGACGAGATTGTGTTTGTATTTAGACATTGATATCTAAGTAAAACTAAATTGTACCTGGAATGATACGTGTTCAAGAAACCGTTCTGGAGTAGGGTATTTACAACAGATTTACATTTACATATAAACTAAGAAAGAGAAAGAAAAATAGAAAGATAGATGGATAGAAAGATAAATATATAGTTAGATAAAAAGTTAGAGAGAGAGAGAGAGAGAGAGAGAGAGAGAGAGAGAATGTTAGAAGTAAGTTTTCTCTCTAAATCTCTGAATGTGTGTATACTCCTGCCTTCAATTCAATTCATCAGTCAGTCAGACAGAATCCTTTGCTTAAAGCACATCTAACAAATTAAATCTATACACTATGTCAGTTTTAACATTAAGATATTGCAAAGTTTCTGTGTTTTTTTTTACTCTTCCATACCTTTTTTAAAAACATTTTAAAATTTAATTTTTTTTATATTCCTAATTATTTCGTTTATTTTTCTTATGTTAATATATTTTTATCTTTTCCTTTCTTTTTCTTACACCTTCAATTCCTTTAGGATACTTCCCTTATTCCTACCTTTTCCATCCTTTCCTTTCCATCCTTTCTTTTCCATCCTTTCCTTTCTTTTCCTTTCCATTCTTTTCTTTCCTTTCCATCCTCTCCTTCCAATCCTTTCCTTTCCATCCTTTCCTTTCCATACTCTCCTTTCCATCCTTTGCTTTCCATACTCTCCTTTCCATCCTTTCCTTTCCATCCTAATTCCTTTCCATCCTTTCCTTTCCATCCTCACCTTCCCATCCTTTCCTTTCCATCCTTTCCTTTCTTTTCCATTCCTTTTCCTTAATAATCTTTTTTTCTTTACTTTCTTTCCTTTCCCCTATCTATCTAATATTCTTAATATCTATCTATCTATCTATCCCTACACAGTTTCTGTTATATACAATATACAGGAAGTAAACGTTATCATATATCTGCTGCCAACATACAGATAAATATTTTAACTTTCAGACGGATATAATGTTCTTAACTCAACAGCAAGAGTAAATTTTCAAATTTCTGTTCATCCCTTGGATCTCCGAATTAAAGTCACAAAATCCACCAAACCCCAAAAACCGGAATTAGTCGAATTACTAATCGTATTCGTTGGAAATTCTGAGTGTCTACAAAAACCGGTTTTTATCCTATACCTGTCCTGCCTCAATACTGCCTGGAAACTCAGGCCTGAAGTCGTGTCAGGCCGAAATCTTCCCAGTTTTGCATGAAACTCGTGGAGAATACGTTTCTCGAGAAATCGAGAAACTACATTTCGTCGTTGGCTAAAAAACGCTCAACGAAAGAAACGAAAGAAACGATGAATCCTGCCGAAGCTCTAAAACGGTCTGCTACGGAGGAGGGGTTAAAAAACGTGAACAGTCTTTTAATGTCTTTAGTTGGTATGTTTTTAGTGAAAAAATATCTTTACAACTAAAACAGGAGAAATAATTTAAATATAAAAATACTGTGTTAAATAAAAATTTAGATTGCAATTTCAAAGTTATATCAAGAGATATAAACATAGGAAGTGTAAAATATTTGTTCTTCTTTTGCAACGGTTTATTTTATATTTTGAAATATTGAATCTTGGGATTAATATCATCATTTTAAGTTTAATATTAAAAAATATTGCAGTTCTCATTTTTTTTTATTTAATGATAAAAATAATAGTTTAATAAAAAAATAATTAATTATTTTTAAGGAACTCCCCGTGGCGCCCTATGTGTAAAGAACAATCCAATTACAGAAGATTACAGGTTAAAATAATAAAATATTAATTTGTTCGTTTTTATTTTCATTTTAGCGTTTTTAGACGTTTTTTGTATGGAATTTAATGCCAAGCTGCAAGAATAGATTTTTAATAGGCAATTTGGATAAAACATTTCGTAATTATATTTTCATTTGAATATCTTATGCACTTGAAGTTATAGAATTTAAGTATAGAATTTCATTATTCGAACATGAAAAAGAAATTGAGATTTCAAATTTTACGAGCTAATAGATTACTTTTTTAAGAAATTGGATCATTTTTTTATAGGATTTTAAGATTGTAGAATTTTAAGGTTAAGAATCATANAGGGGGATAACATTCTTTTAATCTAAGATTCATGTAGATTATCTTTTCTTATTCGATCCTCTTTAGAGATAAGAGAAAACATTCATATAAAAAACATAAATTTTTTGTCAGAAATATAATGATAATTATTTATAACACTGTTAATTTGGTTCGCAGTGTTAAAAAGTTTTTGGACAGAAATTTTCTCTTTATCGAGAAGGTTCAAATCTTTTTAGATTTAGTTTTGTCCTAGCTTTAGCGAGGATAAAATCCTGAATAATATTATTCCTCCCTCCTGCACCATCCTGAAGAACACTATTCCTCCCTCCTGCACCATCCTGAAGAATATTATTCCTCCCTCCTGCACCATCTTGAATAATATTATTCCTCCCTCCTGTACCATCTTGAAGAATACTTATTTTTAAGGAACTCCCCGTGGCGCCCTATGTGTAAAGAACAATCCAATTACAGAAGATTACAGGTTAAAATAATAAAATATTAATTTGTTCGTTTTTATTTTCATTTTAGCGTTTTTAGACGTTTTTTGTATGGCATTTAATGCGAAGCTGCAAGAATAGATTTTGAATAGGCAATTTGGATAAAACATTTCGTAATTATATTTTCATTTGAATATCTTATGCACTTGAAGATTATAGAATTTAAGTATAGAATTTCATTATTCGAACATGAAAAAGAAATTGAGATTTCAAATTTTACGAGCTAATAGATTACTTTTTAAAGAAATTGGATCATTTTTTAAGAAGATTTTAAGAATGTAGAATTTTAAGGTTAAGAATCATAAGATTTTTAGGTCCAGCTTTTATAGATATTATAATTAATGAAAACTATGGACCAAAATACAAAAAATAGAAACTATTTAATATTTATTCTAAATTCATATCTTGTTTATATGGTCAGTTATCAAATTCACTTCTATTAAATTATTAAGTTTATCAATTGATCTTGATCTTGAAGTTTTCTCAAATACCAAACAATTTGAAGACGAGAATGTATAATACTAAATTATCGATTGGAAACCCAGCTTTGTCTGGTAACTAAACTTTCCCTTTACACGTCCCCATCTCAACTTAGAATTGTTTAACAAAGCTAAGAACATTCTCGTGGTTCAACTGAGTTCACCATTCAAAATTAAGAAAAAAAATCAAGGGGTTCATGAGTTATGATCTGACAAACAAACCTTATATATAAACCAGTTTTAATGATTGTTTATGTACAGGATCAGCAGTACAGTACTCGGCCTGGGTATAAACGGGAAAGTAGTTGAATGTTTCAGTCTCCAAGGAGATAAATGTGCACTGAAGGTAAATTTGAGTAAATAAATTGCATCTATTGTTAAACAATGTTTACTTCAGAGAGTTGCGTTAAATGGACTAAAAGTGTACCTTAATTGTACAAAAAGTTTGAATCAATTAAATATTGTACTGAAAATACAAATCTCCTCTGCTGCAACTTTGAATCAATGTTGTAACAATTCAGAATTTTTCTCGAATACTACAATTATACCACATGTGTACACCAATTATACAATTATACCGCATGTGTACACCAATTATACAATTATACCGCATGTGTACACCAATTATACAATTATACCACATGTGTACACCAATTATACAATTATACCACATGTGTACACCAATTGTAGAATTATACCACATGTGTACACCAATTGTACAATTTTACCACATGTGTACACCAATTGTACAATTTCTATTAATCCTACATCGATAACGCGTTAATGGCATCAATTTTACAATGTACAAAGTACACAAGTTTAGAACAATTGTACTGCAGTTCAACAACTTTCGCAGTTTTGAATGCTAAGAATTACAAAAAAAGGTTAGATTTCAATTGAATAATTCTAATCCTTTTTCCTTATTCTCTATCTGGATATATATTTTTTACTTCGGAGAATTCTTATCATTCTTCACGTTTACTTTTTATAGTTTAGTCAGGGGTGTTTATTTTCAAGAAAATCAGTTTTCTTCCCTCCCCCTTTTTGAAAATCATTTTCCCCCCTAAAAGTTATATTTAATTAATTGCGCGGAGGGGAAAAAAGTGTTTAAGGGTTTTATTCGCTGAATTGGGTAAAGGACAAAGGTATCAAAAAAGAACGAAAAAAATTTCATTTTGATGTCACATTTTTCATTTCTCTTATCTTAAATCATCCAAAATGATTTCCGTCTGGGGGGGGGGTTAATTCTGAAAAATATAAACCCCTGGTTAAGTTCTATGAAATCCTAGATAAAAATACTGGTTGTTTAACCTACTCAACCTGCAGTGCATCCAGGATCATCTTATTGAACAAGAAAAATATTTCCAATCTCTTAAAGGGGCAACAGACATAATTCTTTAGTTTAAAGCGTTTCATGCTCAATGCTCACAACACGGTCCCTTAAACCAATTTTTTGGATTTTAAATAGGAAAGGAGGAGCTATTAAAAATACTAATTCTTAGATGCAAAAACTGGATCAATCATGTTNCAAATCATAATAATTATTCCATGAATAATGATAGTAAATTATTTATCTATTTCCATGAGTAGAAATTAGAAACAAATCGTAATAATACAACATTTAAGAACAAAGACATTTTTTACCTACAGTGAGTACCAGAAAAGTGTGAAAAAAGAAGTCGACATCAAAACAATAAATAGTTGTTACAAGCTAATAGCTTTACCAGTAACCTATTATATCACTTTTTAAGTGAAATGGGTCTGTGTTACACTGCATAATTCGTGTGTCTTGTGTTTATTAGACTATTTAGTAACTTAAGTCTAAAGTCGTCTTCCTATTTCACAGTTTTCCGGTTTTCACAGCAGAATGGTATTAATGAAATCTAGATGAAAGGATCAGAAAAAAATTATTTAACGACACAGTATTAACAAATTTACTTTATTTCCAAGCATTTCTTCATTTATTAAAAAATAATAATATTTTCTCAAACTTGATCGTTAAATTAAACCAAGTTTTATATTTGATTTAAATCTTGCAGATTTTTAACCGTTGCGTCTCTTTCTGAAGAATGATCTATAATAAAAAATTAGGGTTCTAAAATAAAATACTTTTTCAACCATATAACGGTTGAGACGGGGGGGGGGGGGGGGGGGTGTTTCCCCCCCCTGGTGTTTATTAGAACGTTTAAACTCCTTCACTTTGTTTAAAAAATGAGGATGCTAAATATCTTTTTTATTAAAAAAGCCATAACAGGGCATTTTTCCTACGCATTTTTTGAACTTTTTAAAAATCCTCCCTTGCACCCGAATCATTTAAGATAGAGGTATATTTTTTATGGCAGGCCTTGATAAATTGGACTATGTATCACACTCCCCTTTCTCAATTCTAAGGGCAAAACCATATAGACAATAAACATTTTATATTATAGATGAAGCTATGTGGTCATAAAGTGGTATAAGTAATTTAGCATACATTAGAAATTTATCAGTTCATATTTACATATTTATCTTTTTAGTTTATGCCATCATTAAATCCATTAATATATAAAACAAGATTCTTTTAAAGGAATTGTGTTTTTGCCACAAACTCAAATTTTTTAATCCCTATCTTTAAATACCAATGACATAGACCTTAGATATTTCAAACTTTTCATTCTGTATAGAACAAATAACATAAGTTTGAAAAATTAAAGGTTTACACCATCAGGTTGAAAAAATTATAGGGAATAGAAAATTTATGGTATCGACTCCATTCCTTTGTCACTTATAATTGGAATCCTAATTCGTGACTTTAAGACATCTCAATGATTGTTTTTATAGAAAAAAAGGAATTAAATCGCATAAAACTGTGGACTCTTTTTCCATTTTTTAGTCGTTAATCTTCAATTATTTTAGGTTTTGAAGGATAATACAAAAAGTCGGAGAGAGATAGATTTGCATTGGAGGGCAGGAGGGTGTAAACACATCGTTAATATCAGGTTACAAATATATATATATATACAAATTCAGAGAGTTCACGCCACTTATTTGTGAGGGGGGTGGGTAACTTTGATTTTTACCTCCTATTATCACAGCCATATCTTAAATCTGAATCTACAAAATATAAAAAAAATAAAATATGATTTTACCTTTTTAAATCGTCATTTAAGTATTGTCCTGTGAGGAAAGCTCTGTGTGTAATTATAGAAGGCATGATCCATTAACCAGTTGAAAACGTTGTAGACCGTCTTTAAAGTCGCATTCTTTAATTTGGTATATTATTTTAATATTATTTTAATTTCCTTCAGTATTTTTTTTGGATTTGTATTTACTAAAAGTACCTTTTTTATTTATGTTTCAAGGGGGATGAAGGTTGAGCATAAGTTTTTTCTTTGATTAAAAACTTTGAAAATAAATTAGGCTTTGAACGATATTGTGGAAGGTAGAAATATAGCGGGAGTGGAGAGGGGGGAGGGATGTGTTGTAATAGCGGGAGTGGAGAGGGGGGAGGGATGTGTTGTATAGTGGAAGGTAGAAATATAGTGGAGTGGAGAGGGGGGAGGGATGTGTTGTATAGTGGAAGGTAGAAATATAGTGGAGTGGAAAGGGGGGAGGGATGTGTTGTACATCCTAAAGCGTATATTGCATCAAGAAATAAAGAATGTATTGTAATTGTAGGAATGTATTGTAATAAGAAGTAAAGCTATTTTGTAATTGTAGGAATTTATATTATACCTTAGAGTGTATATTGTATTAAGAATAAAGAATATATTGTAAATTGAAGGAATGTATTGTATTTTTACATGTTCAAAGTGTGACCAAATCAGGTCTAACTGGAACAGTACCCATGTACTTTGTTTCAAATTTCAAATCCAAAAAGGTACCAAATTGGCCACACGTTTCATTCTGTGTTTCATTCATAAAAAGTGATAACTCTTGCGCGTATTGTATCAAGAATACAGATTATATTGTATATTGTAGGGATGTATTGTATAAAGAATACAGATTATATTGTATATTGTAGGGATGTATTGTATCAAGAATACAGATTATATTGTATATTGTAGGGATGTCTACGAGAATACCTACAACGGAGTCAAGTGCTTACTGGTAGTTATGGAGTGGTGAGTTTTTTGTCATTTCTTACAAAAACTAGTTATTTTTTTATTAAATTAGATAAAATTTTCTAAATATACCTGAAATAAATGACTTTTTAAATTTAAAACTTTGAATGAAGTATTTCCTAGAGCAATCTAATTTTGTATCGTATTGCAATAGGTGCAAAATAATAATCAATCTAATTTTGTATCGTATTGCAATAGGTGCAAAATAATAATTTGTAGAAAGTAAGGTTTATCCCAGAGAAGGGGGATTTGTGTGTCATTTAATTTGACGTATTAGAACTGCTAAAAACAATAACAAAGTATGTAAAAAAACTTGAAGAATCACGCGATTGAATTGCAATTGAGGAACCGAATACATCTCGTCCTGGTTGGTTCAAGATCGCTTTTCCATTTAAGGCGTATATATATATATATGCCGACAAAAAAGTAAAGAAGATGAAAGTGATAAATTTATGTTTAATAGCTTTTATTATGATCGAAAGTTGCAGATTGCTGGCACAAAGACTGTCCCTTTCTTTAACACGTGATTCATGAAGAGTTTAAAAGCAATAAAATAAATAAAATAATATTTAAATATGTTCAGTATGGAGGGAGGAGAATTATTTACAAGAATCCAAGACAGAACTGCTTTCAACGAGAGAGGTCAGAGACAGAAACTTAAGATATTAACGAGAAAACCAAACCGGGTTTCAAGGAATCAAAACTGGGTTATATAATTTTTCGTAAAAGTCATTTTAAAAATGAATTATTAAAAAGTAAAATGCGTTTTTGATATTTGGTCAGTTTTCTTTAATCAAAGCATAAAAAAAGAATTCTAAATCCAAACTTAAAAATAAAACTTAAATTTAGCTTTTTGTGTCAAGAAGTACAAACAAACTGGATCTAATATTTCAAATAATTCATCTCAGCTACATTTTTACAGTTTACTAAACGAGGATAGTTTTCAAGTATTGAAATATTATAATCTATAAGTGAAATTTCAAGTTATTAAAAGATCGCTAATTGACAGTTTACAGTAAATTGAAATTAAATTATAAAAAGTGAGAAACAGTCAAATTCAAACGAAATTGCAAATTTTTTACATTTTTTTCGCCTTCTGTGATTTCAAAGTATGTATGGAAAATTTAAGTTGGTTTCTTAAAGTACTTTTATGCTTTTGCGTATTAAATGAAAAACATTTTCATAATATGTTTTTGAAACAGCTCAATTTAGTTAATTTTGTATTTTATTTATCTAAGAAATTAATTCCATTCTTATCAATCAACCTTTCTGACCTAATAATTCATATAGAGGGTTCCTCACAAAACTGTTCCTCATAAAACGGTTCCTCACAAAACTGTTCCTCATANCAACTGTTTTATTTTAAATATAACGATCACTTCCTTTGAATTGCTTTCATAAAAATTTTACAAAAGTTTATAGATTCATTTCATACAATTATGATATAATCTTTTTTAAGCCAACATTTCTGTTTAAAACTCTTGTTGTTTTTTCTCCTGTCTGAACAGCTTGGCAATGTAACACATAAAATATAATTGCTAAACTGTTTGTATATTTAGAAGCTGCTGAGATTGTGAAGGATATCTGTGTTGCTGTAAAGTTTCTTCATGATTTAAATATAGCGCACAGAGATCTTAAACCAGAGAACCTATTATACACAACAAAAGGTAAGTTTTTTCATCTCAAATTATCCTTTTTTTACAGGCGTACACAGGGGTGAGGGGGCATTGGAATTTCACCCCCCATCCCCTGGATCAGTTAAATCTATGGTTTACAGGGGGTTTTCAGTTCCCATCGGATGCGGAGACCCTCTTTGAAAGAAAATATTTAAACCCCCTTGGACAAATTCCTTTGTTTTCCCCTTCTCGATTTTGCCAATCTAAATCAAGTTTTCATTTTTTTCATTCAATCAAAACTCATTAAACCACTTGTAATAACAGCTTAAGTTTAAAATTTTCCAACTGTGAGAAGATTATCGCTCATAATTAAACTAGTCTATATTTACTATCTTTACAGTTAGACCCATAAAATTGTGGAACAGAAAAACGGCATAATAGCAAGACTTTCGGTTCATCGGACTATTTAAAGTCATAACTTGAGCCTAAAAGTCGTCTTCCTATTCTAAAGTTCTCAGTGTAGTGCATAGCTTTATGACAACTCTGAAATAAATGCATAAAGACTACAGTTTATACCAGTTATATCCAATTTGATATCACTAAATTGAAAATGAGCTAACACATGTTAAATTTTCTCTTGTCTTATTGTTGTTGGAAGTTTATTATTTAATCTTAATTTTACAAACGAAATATCTACTGTCAAATCTTTTCTAATTGCTGTGGTATTTGGCCATGGATAAAATAGAATGGATAATGGATATATCATTGTCAAGGTTTGATGTAATTTTCTGGGTGGAGTGGCATGCAGTACGTTATTCATGGGACCCTGGACTTACAATTTGTATTTGATTTTAGACCAGTACTTTACCAGTTCTTCACCAATATATAGTTCTTTTCAAAAGAATATATAAAAACATTGGAAGTCTGTAAAATTTAGCCTCCTTCTTTGTATCATAAAAATATTCGGAGATACTAAAGATTGAAATAACCTTGGTTATATTTGATACTTTTAATTTTAGACAGATTTCTTAATTTCTCAGTCAATAACAGCAGACCACATTTAGGAAATTTCAAAATAAGGCGCATTTGATGCTACCTTTTGGTAGACAATGTTATGTTTACAAGATTTTAGCAACAGTATCTCATTTCTGTTTCTTCTCGGGCCCACCATCTACCAAAGCTCTTCTCTGATTTGGACCATGAACTTCAATTTAAACTTTTTAAAAGAACAAATAATTTTTATAGAATAAACGAATGAAAATTTCTTAAGAGTGAAACTTTTAGTACACCATGCAAAGATATTAAAAATGTCCCTAAAAATCTAACGTCCACTCTACTTTAACAACTGTTAAGCACACCCACAAAATTACATGTACGCTGGCACAGAATAGTATAGATCGATAGATAGAGGCATATTTATGTATTTGATGACAACTATTATTTTTAAGAAGTATCAAAAATGTTTTTTTTTATATTTTATTATTGTTGAAAGCAGTCAGAAGTTATTTTTAAAAAATTTAATTTACTTTTAAATAATGAAATGTTTCAAAAGAATTTTTTATCGAGAAAACATCTTTTCAATGAATTTGAAGTATTGGAAGCAATTTTTAATCTAAAATACTTTATTTGATAATTGGTAACATAAGATTAAATGGAGGACATTAACCCAGTCATCAAATGATCACATGATCACATGATCACAAGATCAAATGATCACATGATATCATAATCAAATTATCAAATTATGCCATGATCACAAAATCAAATAATCAAATAATCTCATGATTAAACAATTAAATGATCACATTATTAAACAATCTAATGTTTACATAATCAAAAAGTTTTAATAACCACAAAAATCTAATATTTAAAAATATTTCAGACCGGCAAGGTGTCCTCAAATTGACTGATTTTGGTTTTGCCAAAGAAACGTTTACCCGGGATACTCTACAGACACCCTGCTATACTCCTTACTATGTTGGTAAGCTGTAATCATTATACATATAACAGAGATTAGAACTTTTAAATATGCTAATCTGCAACCCTTCTATACTCCTTACTATGTTGGTAAGCTGTAATCATTATACATATAACAGAGATTAAAACTTTTAAATATGCTAATCTGCAACCCTGCTATACTCCTTACTATGTTGGTAAGCTTAAATCATTAAACATATAACAGAGATTAGAACTTTTAAATATGCTAATCGTTGATGTCCACAGTGAACACGTTTAATTTACTGTGATTAAGCTCGTCAATTCTTGAAAAAAAAGAAATAAAGCTGACGCTTATTTTCGTTTCTTTCTTTAATCTTGAAATATTTTCAAATTGAGTTATTTTAATTCTTGAAAGCACAAAAGAAAGGGAAGTCTTGAACGCGTGATCTCGTTTTTAAATTTGAAGATAACTCTGTATCCTTTAATTTAACTAAGTTTATCCCTTCTGAGCTGAAAACTTTAGAATTGTGGATATCGGGATTAATGCTTGATCCTCTCTTTTTGATAATCTCAAGATTAACATAATCTTGCAAGATTATCTTAAAAGTGTATGAAAAACGATAAAATTCAAATTAATATTTAATCATATGAGAAACTGTAGCAGCCAATCAGAGAAAAGCGGGCAACCAATGAGAGAACAGAAATATTCTCATTGGAGAAAACAATTAACGGATATCCAAGGAGAGAGAAAAAGAGTGGATTAGGACAAAAATGAAAAGTTTCCACATTGGATATTCGGATCAAGAAGTCAGGATTAAAGTTTATCCATTCTAAAGTTCCCAGCTCAGGGCATATATCGTAGATCTGTACAATCCTTTACCCCGACACCACACACTTTAACCTTGTACTTGTACTTGTACAAAATACAATACATGAAGTACAGACAGGGTGTACTTTATAAAGTACAGTGTTCCATGTATATTGTACTTAAATGTTTAATCATTGTTTAATTTAATTGTAAAAGTACTGTACAAGAAATTTGATTATTCGAACTAAAAGAAAAAGTTTTCTAATATGGCAAATTCTTTATACAAAATAAACTTTTACGAACAATCAATAAGAATATAGAGACGATTGTTCGTATACTACTTGATTACATGTATTTATTGAATTATATAATTATAAAGATGAAGTATTCAATATTCGGCTTAAAGAAACTAGTTTAAAATGGACTGGACACGTAATTTCAAACAGCCCTTTAATTAAAGAGGCGCATGCCCGATTCACATTTATACTTTTTAATGAATGAGATATCTTTATTTGTTTAGGATAAAATTGATTAATTTCAATAATGGCATTGTTTAAAAGGAACTTTGAGATATTTGCTGTAGTGATAAGGAAGGAAATTGTTTGAAATTAGAAATACGGCTTTTAAAGTCTTTCTTGTTGGGATTTGATTTTAAATGGCATACTCGTATATTATACCATTCTTTAAATACAGGATTAATATGAATTACGTCTACTGTCTCTTTAATAATTTGATTAGAACTTTATTTTTGAAATAATCTAGAAGTGCATAAATTGATTAATTGGTGTGAATAAAACTAAAAAGGATGGGAGAAATAAATCTCTCTAAAACTAGAAAGGATGGGAGGAATAAATCTCTCTAAAACTTGTTCCAAAATTTTCCAAGGTTTTCAGTTCAGGGTTAAAAACATTAAAGTTATCAATTAGTTAATATTAAAACTTTGGCCCTTTTTTAAAAAAACGCTCAAATATATCTCGTACCATTTCTAAAGTTTTCTTTGATAATATTTTGAAAAAATTGAGATAGATTCTTATAATTTCAAAACTCGTTTAAATTTTGGCTTTTTTGCATAGACCAATACAATCAGTGAAAGAAAATTTCGTCAAAATAATCAAAGATGGGTATCAAAATATCCACATTTAAAAATTGAATTAAAAAATCTTATAAAGAACTTATAACATGTATAACTAAACAAAGTTTTCTTATTTCAATGTAAGGGTGGATGTATTGTTTAAATGTCTCTCTGGCATATATTTGATAATATCTGAGAATATCTTTAATGGTTTGAGATTCATATTGCAAACAAATACAAGGGAGTGTAAACAAATACAAGGGAGTGTAAACAAATACAAGGGAGTGTAAACAAACTTACAATTTTCTTAAATTGGTCTCGTGTTTACAGTAGATGTAGAAACATGCACAATTAAAACAAACAAATCTGCTTGAAAAATTATTTAAACAAAAATAATAAAATTGAATAAATACTTGCTTCAAACTCTAATTTTTTTATCACTATCTGTGCAACCTATAATGTCCCGAGTGTAATCACTTCTCTTGTTAAGATGGTTGGCTATAAATATTTAAAATTACAAAATTAAGCAATTACAATCTTGTAATATGGAAACAATTGAAAAATGACCATTTTTAAGTCGTCACTTTGTTCTCACATTTTTGGTGGCTTACGTACTAATAACAATTTTAACGAATTCTAATTTAGTTTGTTTCAAGTTACTAAATAGATCTTTCTGCCTTTAGTCGAACTTTATCATTGAATCGAACTTTATCCTTGAGTCGAACTTTATCCCTGAGTCGAACTTTATCCTTTAGTCGAACTTTTTCCTTGAGTCGAACTTTATCCCTGAGTCGAACTTTATCCTTGAGTCGAACTTATCCTTGAGTCGAACTTTATCCTTGAGTCGATCTTTATCCTTGAGTCGATCCTTATTTGTTTTTTTATTATTACAGTAGACCAAGATGTACAGAATATCACAAGAATCGATTACTCGCCATAAATTCCAATTTTCCAATCGTTATATCTATACAACAGCTGATGGTGTTGACATTTGATATTTCTAACGTAGAAGTTATATCTAGTAGAATTCATAATCTTAAATATATGTTTACAACTTGAAGCTGCAAAGATGAGGATTAGAAAAGAAGAGTTTAAGACGAGTGTTCATTTTCTTTAACAGATTATTCAATCTTTAATTATTTTAAGATATTTTTCAATTTCAGCCCCTGAAGTTCTGGGACCCGAGAAATATGATAAATCCTGTGATATCTGGTCTCTGGGGGTTATTATGTACATTCTGTAAGTATATTATCTTCTCATACAGTTCATTCAGTATATGAATACAATATCTGGTCTCTGAATTATGTACATTCTGTAAATATATATTATCTTCTCATACAGTACACAAATACATAAATACAATTAATATTAGGTCAGTGAGTCCCAAGCTTAAAAAAGTATATTATCTCCTAATACATCGACATCGTACATGAATTCAATACACGTGAGCTATTTAGGATTTCAGCCAGGACAAAATCGCAAATATCAATTTAATTTAAAATCGTCTTTTTACTTGCATTTTATTCTGGAACTCGTCGAGAAACAAAATATTTATCAGAAAAAAAGATAATTCCAACTTCAATATGTTTCTAATTTACTCTTGAAAAGATTAAAACTTTATTGTAAAGAAATAATTTGAAACTTTTACACCTAAAATCTGATTTAGTTTTATTCCGTTCTCTTTCAGCTTGTAACAAATGTCTCTAATTTGTTTCTTCGAAGAGGGTTCTATTCTTTTTAGTTGGAAAAAGTACAATCAGTTTTAACGATTATTTTTCGAGAAAATTTGGTTGAAAAACATTATTAAAATTCAAGAAAAGAAAACAGAAAATTTAGTTTGGTCAGAAATCAACGTTAGAATACTAATTTTACCGCAAGTTTTTTCATCATTATAGAATAGGACTGTAAAATAGAATGAATGAGAAGGGGATTGAGTAAAGAAAATAGAATGAATGAAAATGGGATTGAGTAAAGAAAATGAAATGAATGAGAAAGGGATTGTGTAAAGAAAATAGAATGAATGAGAAAGGGATTGAGTAAAGAAAATGAAATGAATGAGAAGGGGATTGTGTAAAGAAAATAGAATGAATGAGAAAGGGATTGAGTAAAGAAAATAGAATGAATGAGAAAGGGATTGAGTAAAGAAAATAGAATGAATGAGAAGGGGATTGAGTAAAGTAAATAGAATGAATGAGAAAGGGATTGAGTAAAGAAAATAGAATGAATGAGAAAGGGATTGTGTAAAGAAAAGGGGATTTCAAGGGTTGAAAACGAGGGATGAGGAATCTTAATATAAAATACTATTGTACCATGATCATTAATCATAAGCTTCATTAATATTTTTATTATTTTCTTACAGTCGTCTATTAAAATTTTTTAGTTCTACCAAGCAGCATGGATACACAAAAGCATCTTTTATTTGTTCACTTGTTAAAAATCAAAACTTAAACCGAAAAGTAGTCTTCATTGAACTATTTTTGAAATTGTTCTAGATTATGTGGGTTCCCACCATTCTACTCAAACCATGGGCTACCTATATCTCCGGGTATGAAGAAAAGAATTAGGTAAATATAAAATACAAGAGATGGAAACTTTTAAATCGACAAAACTAGCTAAACTTAAATTCTTCTCATGGAGATATTCTTCGTCTTTTTTTACATCGCATTTGAGAGTTCGGTTCAACTTTACCAATCAGTTTCCCTCTTAAAAGGAAACTGAATTTTAACTTATTTTGTTGGTTCAAAAGTTTCCAAATTGAAAGTTAATTCTACTTTGTGCGTAGAACAATCCTGTTCTAAACTATACACATTTATTTTAGAATAATTATCCACATATATAATGAAATTGGAGAAAAGGGTTAGAAAATGAAGTCTCACTTACAATTGTAGCTGTAGTAAATTAACTTGACTAAACTAATCTATTAAGTTTAACTTCAAGTCTGAAAGTGAGTTTTCAAATTATATATTTTGAACGTGGAATAAAATGGTCTCCTAAAATTTGTTAAAAAATATTACAAAAACTATATAACGATGTTAAAAGAATGTAAATGATATAACATTATATAATTAACTACTATACTATATACTCAAGTCATAATATTGCATAATTTAATGCAAAAACTTTTTCCTTTTTTTAATAAGTCATTGTTTTACTAAAACCATCAAAAAATATTTTGATTTAGGTTGTATATATTATTTTGGATTTATTAAACCAAGGTACAACATCAAAATGTTTTATGTAAAATATTAATGTAGTTATTTCAAGGGATTCTCCAATTAAAGGTCACCTGTCCGATTCACAACGGTTCCCTGTAAAACCATGGTTGCGCATTAAAATGGCGATTTAGTTGATTTTCTATCTGAAAATTAATAATTTTCATTATTTTTTTTGTAAGCTTTGCGGATTTAAGTAGCAACGAAAAGCAAGGAAATGGAAAGAACCAATCCCTTCTCTCAAAAAACGACGATACAGGGTGTCCCAATAAACATGGGAGTTCAGTGACGAATTCGATATCGTCTTTTTAAATAATTCTTTTATTTAGTATAGTGATACCTACTGAGGATGCTGTGATTCGTAAGATTTTCGTCTGCTACAGGGTGTCCCACAATACATGACATTTAAAAATCATGACTCCCATATAATATTTTTATTGATCTTTGGTACCAAACAACTCAACAAATTATGGAAAAAGACATTCTAATCTATTCACCAACTGTCATGTTTCGTGGGACACCCTGTATGTTTACATTTTGTTTGTTTATGTTTTAACTGCTTACGGTTGTACTTAGTAAAACAAGAAAATTACAGTATTAAAACAGAGTAAACTTGTCCGTCTTCACTGTTCATCTTGCGGAGACATTATAGACACATCTTTACAGACATTTACACTTTTCATAAAATGAACTCTAGCAGACAAAATAATAATATTATGGCTTTTGAAATCAGGTATTACAATGCTAATTCATAACAAAGACGACATTTAACTCGTCACTAAATTCCCATATTTATTGGGACACCCTGTATCTTCCTTGTTTATGAAGAGGTAATTAAAGGTTGTGTCGTTGTTAATCAAACTTGTAACTTAAAGATGGAAACTAGAAATTACGTCATAACTAACCACAAGTCCCTTTAAATTGACAACCCAACATCTTAAAAAGAAAACAATTATAACCGACACTTAATAGCAACACTGAATGGCAAAGTGTTAAAATCCAGAATTGAATAAAATGATAAAATTTCAAATATTCTATCCTATTTAATATCTCCTGTTGAAGGTTTCTGTTTTAAATCAGCACTTTTAGATTTTTCTCATTTTTCGGATTAAATTGCAATTGCCAATGTCAGGGTTTAGAAAGAGTTGGATATATTAAATTTCGAGGTAGATAGATAGATAGATTTTATAGAGAGATGTGGGTACATGGATCAAGCCAAACCAAGGGCATGACGTTTAACTGTATACCTGTGTAGTTTTCCGGGGAAGGGAGGGGGGCATAGAGGGCTGGGTATATTCAGTCTTTGCATGGATACCGTTCCTTAACGTAAGCTAAAAATATTTTTTTCTCAGGGCAAAATCCTCATAGAAATAATTTTTACTTTTTTTNACGTTGCCTATTTTACTAAAAGTTTGGAAATATTATAATTCTAAGTATAATTTGATAAAGCTGGATTAATCCCATTAAACTTGATCACTTTATCAATAAATTATGATATTCAACAAAAACAAAATTCAAAAATAAAATCAAGATTAAATTTTTCTTTCATATTTATTGGAAAGATTTTTATTTATCAACAAATTAGGATTTTTCCTGTAGATTATAAAATACTAGTTTAAATTATGAAATTTACCTCATTTACGCATGTTTCATATTTGGGAGAAAAAAATACAAGTTCTTAAAAAAACGCGAAACGTGAAAAACAAAAAAAATGTTCAAAGAAAAATATGATTTATTTTATGAAAATAAACTAAAAAGAATTATTGCTTTTCATTTTTTAAAATATTTTTGCAAACATGAGTGCTTTCGAACCCATATATATAAAGATTTTTTAAATTTTTCAATTTACTTTTATTGTTTTATAATGTGTTTGAACTATCCAATAATCTAAGGACAGTTACGATCTGTTTGTTGGCATTGACGGAATAAAACGGACAGGACAAGTATTTATTCCGGGCATACTTAGCTTTAGTTAGTTTCTCGTGAGTCTTGTAAAAATACAACTGGTTTATTTAATGTGAGGATAAAATACAGGATTTTCTAATCCGTTTCGTTCAAAAACTAAAAGCTTGTCTTTAGATCACTATATCTTTGCAACCTGATTGTGAAAACTTTTAATATTCGATTTAACAGAATTCAACTTTTGAAATCTACTACATCTTAGTGTACAAATATTAGGATTAAGAAATCAGAGTTTGTGGAAAAGACAAAAACTTAGTTCCTTTACAACTTTTAAGGTTTCAATAAAGTTAAAATAATTTTGTGAAACATCATCCTTTCATTTCATTTCTTCCCAGAGTTTGATTAGTTAAGAGAAGATAAAGGTAAACTAGTGTCAAACAAATTAATTAAACTGAAGGAATGATAAAAATTATAATTAAAAGTTCAAATTGAATTTTTAAAAATAAACACTGCATTCACAGTTTTTTTTCAAGCAGATGTTTTATCTGAATTTTTTCTTTCTAATTTTTTCCCTTTCCTGTGAAGTCTGGCGTGTCTTGGGTTGTTAATCATTTGGTTTTTTTTTGTAGTTTTTTCTTCCGTGTTTTGGACTTGCAACAGTTTCATAAAAATTTAAGAAGTTTTACAAATTTCAATACTGTTTTCCAATCATTTACTTTTCTTACACTGCCAAATTTTGACCTCGAGATAAAATAAATGCAAAAAAACAAGAAATTTTTGTTGTGTGTAAACTTGGGTAAACCTTAAAAAAGAAATTATAGGTTAATTATAGGTTAATTATAGGTTAATTATAGGTTAATTCAAAGATGGTCTATATAAAAAATTCCAAAACACTTGTTTAGGTCTGGTCAGTATGAGTTCCCTAACCCTGAGTGGAAGGATGTATCTAATGACGCGAAGGATCTGATCAAGGGATGTCTGAAAACCAACCCAGAGGAGAGATTAACCATTGATATGGTAATCAAGAACAAATGGATCTCGGTAAACTATTTAATATTTTAAACTTGAAGTATAAACCCTATATAATACATTTATAGAGGATTCACAACGGTACCCTTCATAGTGCCTTCTGTCTAATAATGAATGAGACAATCATGTTTTTCTCCTTTTTCATAGATTTTTGTAAATTTGGTTTCTCTATAAAATTCTATGGCGGATTTCTGATGCAGGAACAATGAAGAAACTTGTAATACTTGTACTTTATAATAGAAAATTATTAAAGTTTAAAGGTTACCATTGTAAATTCAGATCTTGAAATCTCAAGTTTAAAGGTTACCATTGAAAATTCACATCTTGAAAAATGAAAAGTTTAAAGGTTACCATTGTAAATTCAGATCTTGAAAAGTTTAAAGGTTACTATTGTAAATTCAGATCTTGAAAAGTTTAAAGGTTACCATTGTAAATTCAGATCTTGAAAAGTTTAAAGGTTACCGTTGTAAATTCACATCTTGAAATCTCAAGTTTAAAGGTTACCATTGTAAATTCACATCTTGAAATTTCAGTCAAATGATTCTTAATTTTTATATTGTAATGCCAATTTTTTTTTTAATAATTTCTTCGATATATATTACATTTTTTACATATTTAATTTTATACAAAATGCTGTTAATTTCATTATGTTTTTATTAGTTTTTGAAGTGTCCATGTTGTACAGGCCAGGGTGTCCAGCATCATATTGGATTGTGCAAAAACAACTCTAAATTTGGATTTTTCGGATAAAATAGAAAATTTAAAAAAATTGAATCTTTCAAAAAGTGTCCCTGAGATAAAAACTATATAGTATCATTATCCCAATCATTTAATCTAAGTATCCAGTGTACACACTTTTTTATTTTCTTTTTAATCCTCTTTTTTGGATAACCCTCTATATTAAATTTATGAAATGTAGATACGATCCCATATCGATTGGACTAATATCCGATTGAATTAAAGTGAGCTGTTCACATGGCCGGCTTTTAGAGCATTTAAACAAATATCAATTTAATCTTGCAAATACGACACATATTTGATCACATTTGAGGACTAAAGTGCTTTAGAACTTTAGTCTTAATAAACATAAATCCACGTTCGTTCAATCGATCATTAGTCCAATTGATATGACACCACAAATGCGGAAAAATCAGAAACCGGTTTTTCAAAAGTTAAAGGGTGGATTACTAATCTCTAGAAATTAATCTATAGACTAATAAATTAATCTTAACATATATCCTCCATTCTAAAGTTTTCAGCTCTGGCAACATAAAAAAAATGTACATAAAATCCAATATGATATGGGACGCTCTGTATGAACTAAAATAGATACGTTACTAGGTTCTCATCAACTATTTAATTTCAGCAATACAACGTGGTCCCCCAGACCCCTCTGCTGACCAGCGATGTGTTGAAGGAGGAAAACGAGCAGTGGCCAGATGTCCAGCAAGGGATGTCCCTCGCTCTCAGAGAGATGAGAGTTGATCAGGTTTATACATTGTTGTTTACATTTCATACCATTGCAGTACGCATTCTTTACATTGTTTACGTTTCAATCCATTGCAGTACGCATTGTTTACATTTAAACCGCATATTGCAGGACAATTGTTTAAATTGTTTACACTACATCCCATTACAGTACGCAATTTTACGTTGTTTACATTTTACCCCATATTTACGTTGTTTAAATTCTAACCCCTTTGCAGTACGCAGTCTTTACATTACACCCCATTGAAGCACGCTTTGTTTACATGGTTTACGTTTTACCTCATTGCAGTACGTATTGTTAATGTTGTTTACGCTTTACCCAAAGATAATATATATATAGATATGCAGGCAGGTAGAAACCTCCTTCCTAAATTGCCCGTAGCAGACAACTAATTTTTGAACCTCTGAGAAAAGGTGCAAGGAGAGACATCTATAGCAAATTGATTACTTTCTATATTCCTTTCTCCCCTTGCTTCCATCTGTGGGAAATACGCATTTGTGTTATATAAACATACAGTACGCGTATTGCATTCTGTATAGTTCAAGTGTTGCTATCTGGACCTGTTTGACCAATAAAATTAAATTTCAAGGTAACACAAACATACAGTACGCGTTTTGCTTATGTTATGATCAGATCAGTTGTAATTTGTCCTAGACTCGATGCACTTTTATAGTCATAATTTTTATTCAAATTGCGTTAATTTACGTATGCCATTCAGTACAACTTGCACATTTAAACTTTGTCTAGTCAAATTCCTACCTCAGTTTTATTTGCATTGATTAATTTGTTTCATTAAGTACAATATGCAGTATACATTGTTGATACTATAGTACGCATTTAGTGTTATCACGCATAAACAAAGTGATAAATTAGCAACAATCCAGGGGATAAAATGCCATGCGTACGACAGAGATGGTGCTGTTTGCACCTTTTCTCAAGACCTCAAAATTTATACCTGCCTGCATATCTATATATATATTATCTTTGGCTTTACCCCATTTCTGTACGCATTGTTAATGTTGTTTACGCTTTACCCCATTGCTGTACGCATTGTTTACATTGTTTACGCTCTACCCCATTGCAGTACGCATTGTTAATGTTGTTTACGCTTTACCCCATTGCAGTACGCATTGTTTACATTGTTAACGTTTTACCCCATTGCAGTACGCATTTTCTACATTTTACCCCCTTGCAGTACGCATTGTATGTACGTTGTTCATAGTACTCCCAGACGCAATACGCATTGTTCAGGGGTCTGCATCAAATTTCACAAAATACATAATCTGACTTTTCCTCATACACCGTCTCCAGGACCAAGGTGTAAAGAAATGAATTTACAGGTGTAACCAGAAAACAGTGGAATTCACGTCGTCTTCTTTATGAAATGTTGCCAAGGTGTTTGTAGTTTTTAATGGAACTTTTTTTAGAAAACTGTCTCGAAGATTTTTGGGAATTATGTAAGTTGCTTCAATTTTGCTACATTCGTAGAGTTATTGCACTGTCCGCGGACGGTAATAAACAGCTTTAACTTTTAAGAAACGAAAACATGGATTTCTATTTCATACTTGACCAGAAAAAGTTTTTAAAGGTTCCGATGTAAATCGGGCATTGCAATCTTTATGGGGGGGTCGCTTGAAATAACAGTCCCCTTAAGGTTCAAAATTTTATTACGAATCAATAACATATCTTATTGATAATTTAGGATCAACCCTTCACTGTGAAGAACCCACGTCTTGAGTCTAACTCAGCCCTGGTTAAGAAAAGGCAGGCGAAGGCGGGAGGTCCGCCCACCATCCAGGAACAGATAACACAGGAGGGAGAATCCTGAGAGGAAGAGGCGGGGCTAGACCCGCCCTTAAACAAGAAATCCAGGAGCTATTCCCCAGAACCCTCTGCAGAATAGAGATTTATTTGATTTTGTTTAAAAGCAAGACGACATTCTGATTTAGCGTTGGCATTCCCGCCATTTTCTAGCTCAGATATGCGCCATCTTGATATTATTTTTACTCATTTCCTTCGAGCATTTATATGAACTACATAGTAACGATTCCCTCCCTTCTCAATAGTACGCAAAATATAGCTCAGAACTTGCATGATCCTTACGTCTTATTGTACAAATATTTAATGACTTCAATATGTTTTATTGTGATTGAAAACCCTCAAGTTTAAATCAAACTACAAATCTCTTGTTGTACGTAACGGCAAAAACATTGTTTAAAGATTATCATAAACTGACCAAAAATGTGCCATTTTGTGCTACAATAATTGAATTTTCAAATACTAATTTCATCGTTAGTCTAAATATTATATTTTAGTAAGATGAAAAAATATAAACTTTGGGCAAAAAAATACAACTCGTACAGTACAACTTTAGAAAGCAAAAAAACTTCCCTTAAAATAGTGAAAGTTATTTTATTCTTCTCCTCAATCAACAATTATCATTGTAACGCGAATGTAACTTGAAGTAAATAATTAAGTACCAAGATTTTGAAACTAAGATACAATATACTAAATAATTAATAAAATTACCTCGTTATTATGTTCGACGTTGCTAAGTTAATTTTATAAATTGTCTCATTTAGTCGGAAGTTTTATTAAAATAAAAACATAAAACAAAAACCTTTTTTCGTAAAGAGGTCTCATACTTTGAACCCAGCTTGCTTCTGACGTTGTAACCGATTTTGTTATTTTTACTTGATTGGATGATTTCCTCCATATTTAATTTCATTTATTTTTCAAGATAAGATTTAATGTCGTCTTAGTGTGACGTCTCCGGTAAATATTTAATATCCAGTATCCACATTGGTAAATGGTAAATTATTGACAATTTTTAGAAAATATAGTATGTATACAGAATACACAGTTCACATGAATTTACCCTAAGTGTATTTGATGTTGTTTCAAAGCAAATAGTTTTACTAGACACTTATTAAATGTTTAGTCAAATGGGTTTGTTAACACTGCTGTGCCTCAGGCGCATGCTCATTGGTCTTTTTAAAGTTATAACTTGATTACGCGAGTCGTCTTCATTTTCCAGAGTTTTCTGGTAATCACTGTAGATCGGCCATTGCATTGAAACATTTAGGATATTTTATGAACAGAACATTTCAGAGATGAGACAAATCCTGCCAGAAGAAAATGTGTTTTCTCAATAATAACAATATTACTTTGTCTATGAAATTTCCTATCCATGAAATGTCCCTGTGCACCCTTTAAACACTAAGATTTGAAGGTTAGATTACATTTTCTGCATTAAAAAGGAAACTAAAATTACGCTTCCTCCAGTCGTATTTTCATCCACATTTGGAGGTGTGACTTCTGTCCGTCAAAGGAGAATTCTAAATTTAATTCAGGGTTGATCTAGTTGATTTTGAAGATCCTCTGTAATCTTGAAACAAATAATTTGATATGAAATTTATAATTTTTTATATGATGAAATTTAAATTAATAATAAAGTGGTCAATCAGTGGAGAAAATGATGAAGTACAATAAGAACTGTGACAGCGTGTGCAGACGTGTGAACCCCTGTTTAATTGATTCGACCATGCATCTATTTTATTTTATACATATTGTTAAAAACTTTAATTTGGAAAAATGATAAAGGGTAAAAAAAGTCGTCTATTGTCATATCTATATATTTTGCAGGGTGCGTCCCACGAAACATGACAGTAGCAAGACGACTTTAAAGTTATTTGTGACATTCAGTGTCAACTCTCAACCCGCTTTCACGTGTAGGATTCTTGAAACAAGAGCAATAATTTTGTTCAAATCAAATCAATTTTATTAAGAAAAACTAATTTTTCAAAATTCTTCATATCTCGGATAATGTTAAAAGCACGAAAAAGACAGACCACATTTTGGAAATTCCAGGGGTATTTTGCAATTATTAACTCTAGCATTTTACTTCCAATATAAGGTGGACAATAAGTGCAGTAAATTTTTTCAAAGATCAAGACGACCTTTAAGTCGTCTTGTTACCGATATGTTTTGTACGACACCCTGTATCCTAAATAGACCGGCAAAGTTCATAGAAGTCAAGCAGTGCAGGAAAAGTGCGCACCCCCCCCCCTCTACAAAAACCTCTCTTATTTTTATTGTGTAAATGAAGAGTACTTTTAATATTAGTATTTAGTTAACAAGTATATCTGGTTAAGATGGAATAGTCTGGAAATATATATTTATACTAGCTTGGAAACCCAGTTTTGCCTTGATACTAAGTTGTCTTTATAAAAATCTATTTATATTTAACTAAGAACTTTTAAACCAAGATGAGAACATTCCCCTGGTCATACAGAGTTCTTCAATAAAATTTGTGGCAAATCGGTTACGGGGTTTATGAGTTATGATTGGACATACAAACAAACAAACAGAGATTACTGCTTTCTAGATGCTACATATTTTATATTGTATATTGTATATTGTATTGTATATTGTATATTGTATATTGTATATTGTATATTGCATATCGTATATTGCATATTGTATATATTGCATATATATTGTATATTGTATATTGTATATTGTATATTGTATATTGTATATTGTATATTGTATATTGTAGATTGTATATTGTATATTGTATATTGTATATATATTCTATACATATTGTATAGCTTAATTATATTTTATGTATCTACAGGGTAAGTTAAAAACCGGAATTATCAATATGTTAATTAATGTTTTGGGCAAAATTTTCAAAATATTTGTTTTCTTCGAATTTTAGGCCTAAAAGATTTTTATTGGTTAAAAAAATATGAAATATTTTAAGAACGTTTAAAATCCACGAAACCAAATAAAAAAATTTTTTTTTAATTTTTGAGAAAATGTTTATTCTATATATTTTTTTCAAATTCATTAAAAATAAATGAGATAAAAAAAACTGTAAGTGTAAAAACTGTGAGTGTAAATCTGCAGTAAATGTTTTCAAATGTTTTCACCTAAAAACTGTTATAATTTCAAAAATGAAAAAAATTGCTTACATTTTTGTTAAAGGTCATTAAATTTTTGATTAATTTATATTAAATTCTGGAAAATATGAAAACAATAGAATAAACATTTTATTTTTATTTTTAGTTTGGTTTCAAGGTTTTTTTCAACTTTCCAAAAATATTTTTAAATTTTTATTTATCACGTTTTATATTTTTTATGCCTAAAGTCCGAAGCAAACTAATTTTTTAAAATGTTGTACAAAACATTGATGATCCCGGTTTTCATTCTCACCCTTTAATATACATGAATAAAATGTAGGGTTTGTGAGACTAGGGATTTATACTGTGGTATTCAAATCCCGTATTAGAATTTTAGCGTTTTCCTAAATGACCAAAAGTTGCGCAGTGCAAGTATGATGAAGAATAGTGAACACCGCATTTTCATCTCCCCCCCCCCCTTGTGAACTAAATCAAAGGAGAGGGTCAAATTTATGTAACATTACTTGTCCGACTTTGTGACCTCGTCCTTGTAGCTCTTATTGTTTTTATTCAAAACATTTTTGTGCAAATTACTTTTGTATAATGTGACCAATCCATTATTTTGTATAATTTACATATTGAGATATATATTAATATGCGTCTCAATAATTTATTTTTATTTGTGCTTTTAAAACGGATCCCCTAAAATGTTCTCTAACTTTTGAAGCCCTGAATAGGTCTAGTATCTCTGTGGATCCCCTGAAAGGGTCTAATATCCCTAGCTGTGAACCCCCTGAAATGGTAAAGTAACCCTATGTACCCACTGAAATGATCTAGCATCCCTGCGGTGCCCCTGAAATTGTCTAATATCCCTAGCTGTGAACCCCCTGAAATGGTAAAGTAACCCTGTGTACCCACTGAAATGATCTAGTATCCCTGTGGTGCCCCTAAAATGGTCTAGTAACCCTGTGTACCCACTGAAATGATCTAGTATACCTGTGGTGCCCCTGAAATGATCTAGTATCCCTGTGGTGCCCCTGAAATGGTCTAGTATCCCTGTGGTGCCCCTGAAATGGTGCATTGATGAAGGAAGAATAAAGATTACTAATGAAGTATCTTTCACCCCCCCTGCTCCCCCTGTAAATATAAATCATTTTATGTCACATCAATAATGTTCATATTCACTTGTCAAGCATAAATCTGTTTTACCATAATCTCAGCGTATGCCATCAGTCTAAGAAAAATATGAAAATGAATACAAATAGAACAATATAAAATGAATGCCTAGGAATAACTAATTTTAAATCAGTTCTGTGCATTTAAAAGTTCTCAGCTCTGGACGATGACAATTTAAAATTGCAAAATGGTTTTTTATTCTTTTGCTGAAAACTTTGATCGCCTGTTTAAACTGACTTTTTTATCTTCAACTAATCCCAGCTATAGAGGGACAATCCTTTAACTGATCAATAATGTGGATTATATCGTTGTATTTATATTGAACAGTGTTTAATTCTGATAATTCATTCCTTACTTTTAGACAGAAATTCTCATCTTACTTTACAGAAAACACAACAATTGAAATAATCAAGTTTCTATAGAGTAGATTTATATTTCAGAATTCTTGATTAGACACAGCTTTTAAAGGTATTATTGTGAATCAGACATTCCCTTCAGTAATTTTAGATTCCCTTACATCTATAGTCCCCTTTACCAAATACAGTGAGAAATGTAAACCAATGATTTATAATATTTTAACATTTTGCAATATTCATATTCTTCATATTCTTTCCAGATATTATGAGAAAAAGTTTTGAACACCATCATAAAAATGTCTTCGCAAGTTTTACCCATTAGGACGACGGACACCTCGCATACATAATCCCTTTTCCACATATAGGGATTATACGAGTTCAGGAGAAGGGATTAAGGGGGAGGGTCACGAACAAAAAAGGGATTGTTAGATGACATTTAACCACTTTAATGCTTCGTCAATTTGTTTCTTGACTCTGTTTAGACTCAAATTTACTGAAAACAAAGAAAGGAAAGATTATTTTCTCTTAACAAAAACAATAAAAAATATTGGCATTTGCACTTAAATATAAAGAATCTGTTGCCCATGTTAATGTTTTAATTAAATGTAAAATATTTCAAGCAAAATAAAAGATATGAAGAAACCCAAATCTTTTCAGAAAAAGAGAAAGAGGAGAAGGTTAAGAAGGATTAGGACTTAACATTCAGATGGTGTACGGTAGTATGATTTATCTCCCTAAAGTCCCCCTCCCCTCCTACTGATTTATCCCCCCCCCTTTCCCCATCATCTACATATTTATCCACTAGGTGCATGTGAATTATCTAACAGCTAACTGCAGAGAAATCTTCTTATTCTGCTGTTTTAAGTTTTTAAACTAAAATAGAGATTTATTTGTTATTTTTATTCAGCACTTTTAAAACTTCTTTACATTAACTTAGACGAGGAGAGGACGACCAGCCACATTAATTTCTACTCCGAGCCACATTCTCCTCATTTTCTCGTCTGAGCCACCTCAAAATCCTCGTCTTTCCAATATTATTTTTTCAAGTGTCTAATCCTCACAGATAAAACTATTTTTAAAGAATCAGACCACGTTATAGGGCATAAATATGCCAAATATTTTTCTATTTTTTTATATCGCGAATGATTGCAATACTTTAGTCTATCTATATGTTATGCCCTATTGTGGCCACATTTCAAAAATAGTATTATCTTCGAGAATTGAAAACTTTAAAACACATAAAAATCGAAGGACGAGAATTCCGAGGTGGCTCAGACAAGAAAATGAGGAGAATGTGGCTCGGACGAGAAATTGTAGTGGCTGGCCTTTCTCCCCTCCTCAGACAAATGAGATATCTCTAGAAAACTATGGGAGCATGCGAAAAAAACTGTGGATTATGAAGACAACAATTGGTCAAATTTACGTTTATTTTCTGTTGGTGTAAATCAAACAATTTGACTAGTAATAGCTTGAAAATCCACGTGTTTAGTTTAGTGAAATTTATTTACATTGTAATATTATTACTTCTGTCTAACAACCGTCTACCTATTCCTATTCCACCGTTTTTAATCTATATGAAACAACCATAAGTCAAAAACAAGCGTGTATTACCTGTTTAAAAGACACTTTTTTTTACCTTTAATTAATTTTTGCATTTAATTCCACTTCATAGAAACCAGGTCTTAGGAATTTGTTCCCTAAAAAATCTCCTAATTGGTCCTTAGAACTTCTGCGAAAATTCTCGGGACCAAACTCCAGAATTTTTCGAAAATTTCCCGGTAAACCCTGAGAAGCAATGGTGTAGTTTGTGAAAACTATAGAAATTACTTAAATTGAGTCCCTTTTGTGGACTAAAGAGAATTTCTCCACTTTTGGTTACTGGATCCCTTTCGGGGTGATAGGGATCCATACCATTTCTTTCCTCCCATCAATATACAGGGATAGGAACACGTCAAACTAAACACATATTATACAGAGATAGGAAAATCGCAATATAAACGATATATGATGTGGTACACGGACACCCCTATACGCTTCATGAAGTAATTGTAATCATTTAAAACATATTTTTGTATAATATTTATTAAACTTTAACATATATATATATATAAAGATATGTTGAGAATTAGCGCATTGCGAAATCTTGAATTATGCAATGAATACAATTAATTTAAGGCAGATTTAGCCTTAGACAAAGTTCATTTTGTTATATTTTTAAAAGCTAAATTTGCTACTGCATATGCTTTTAAGCAGAACAAAGCCATAGTTAATTAACAAAAAAATTATGATGCTAAGTTTCTTACATTAGTCAGAAAACAAATATATTTTGGTAGCCTGTTTGTTTGTTTGTGTACTTGCAAAAGCGTCGAAACTGATCTGATCCATTTTTTTAAGGATCCACATAAATATCAACCCAGGAAATTCCAAAAATTTGCCTGACAAAACTGGATATTTCGAAAAATATGGAAATATTTCGACTAAAATAAAATCCTTGAATTATTTTTTTGTTTTTACAACGAAATGTACGAAATAGTAAGCTAGGCAGGCTTGCAGATATAACAGCGACAAATATTATAGAAATAGGATTAAAGCCCGAAACGCCTTGAAACCCTATATATTTAGCTATGATAAAAATAACTATAAACACTATACCATTTAGAAAAGTGAAGTTGAAAACAATATTTGGCAGCAATACATGGTTATGTATATTGTATAATGTATAATCAAAAAGTTTGAAGTTTTGCTCATTTACAAAAAATAACAGAAATTAAAAAGCGATTTTTTAATGTGAATAGAGTCTAAGTAATGAACAGCCAAGTGTGTTCAAAAGAATAAAAACATATAAAAATCAACCAATTTAAGTTAAAAGGTTTAAAAAGCTAAATTTAGAATTACCCTTTATATACGAGGATAAAGAATTATGACCTAATTAACAAGAATATACGTATATATACGATCATACAAATATATATCATAATAATACTAATCGAAAAAGATTTATTTTTGGACATTTAAAAACTTATCGAGAGAGAAATTTAAAATAAGGCACCAAGTTTTTCCCTATGTGTTTGTGTTTTCCCTAATATTTTTGTGTTTTCCCTAATTAATGTCCTTTTTTCCCAAAAAATGGCATGTTTACTATTCAGGTGTGTGTCCCATGTGTTTTAAACAACAGAACTTAAACTTTTTTTTAAAAATAATTTTTATTTTAAAGTTAAAACACACATATGATTGTTTAAATGCTGTTAATTTGTTCAATCCAAAGTTGAATAGGTTCCACTCACTATATTTCCATTTACTGATGGCGCCGATTGAAGGATTCATAACTCTAATTGAATAATGAGATAGATAGAAAGATAGATGTTACCGCCATACTATTTCTGAACCCTGATTGTATCAGACGCTAATGGACTTGGCATACAAGAGTGCACGGTAGGTTTATGTTTGTCGAAGCTCCCTGTCTTACTATTTATAGATGAGCAACTTTAGGTCCTGATATATCAGCAGCAGGCAGGCTGACCGTCACAGAGACTGGGGGAGCTCGCTCAACCGACCTCTTCCGGTCATCTCCGGTCGAATAGACGAGTTCAGACTCTGTTCGGCCGAGGGTTACGTCTACCGAACCGTTCATGTACTCACTCTCTTCCTGTTCAATCTCAAGAACTGGATCCTGAATATAAAGTTATGAACATCTAAGGGCTGTTTGAAAATGTAATGACTAGATTTTATAGATATCAGTTTAATCTTCTATTGAGTATACAAGCTCTTTAACCCTAAACTTCTATTGAGTATACAATCTCTTTAACCCTAATCTTCTATTGAGTATACAGCTCTTTAACCCTAAACTTCTATTGAGTATACAAGCCCTTTAACTTTAATCTTCTATTGAGTATACAAGCTCTTTAACCCTAATCTTCTATTGAGTATACAAGCTCTTTAACCCTAAACTTCTATTGAGTATACAAGCTCTTTAACCCTAAACTTCTATTGAGTATACAATCTCTTTAACCCTAA